AGTACGAATTTGGGTAGAATTGTACGGGAAGCAACAATAGTCTCCCAAAATTTCATCACATTTTTTATAATACCATCAACACATGTAGTTGACCATGTGCATCATTTCTTCTCATGCTGAAATATCTCTTTAAGATTCTTTATGTTTCAGATAACCTCAATTACCGTTCAGTATTCGCGCTGGGCCAAGTGACCATTCGAATTCCCGCTCCTCCTCTGCTGACCTTAGCTGAGCTTATCGGCTTCATACCGTGGATCGTACCAGCGACTTTGACAATATTAATGTTGACAACACGGAGAGCTGTATATATCTACGCCTGTGTACATACCACATTTCCGCTACATCGTTATTGGTATACCCTTAGGTCGTGTTATTGATAACATCATTCGTCAATGAGGGGCTCTTCAAGCGGCTATTCGGGCAGGCTCGGCCGCCTCAGAGTGCCTGTGAAGGCCCAGGCATGCCTAGCGGTCATTGCATCACCTCAGGAGTGTTATGTAAGACGTTTATGCAACTTTACCAGCTGCAATTTTTTCATACCAAAATTTTGATGCGTTTCTCGGAAGTAGGAAGGTGGCGAGCTTTCCTCCCAAAAAATCGACGAAATTTTCCACATTTTCAGAAAGTGAGTAATAGACTTTCCTTATTTTAGGTACATGGTTTTTCTTAGAGTCTACCGCCCTGTTCCTCAGCAGTGGAGGAGCGAGCACATCTGGAAACGCTGAAGAGATGCTTATCTGGATACTTATAATACTCGTCGTTTTTGGTCCTGTAAGTAGAGGCAAATGGTTCATCAATGCTGATTGACGATTCTGAGTTTCTGTGGTTTACGACACCTTGGTTTGTTGGTAGTGTATAGAATTTGTTCGGAATGTGTTCGGAAATCTGACCGATTACATTTAGACCCGTTAGTTCGCTGAATATGACGAACTGTTGTTCGTATTGACTAGGTTTATCAAGTACTGTGATAAATTATCACAGTTAGGAAAAGTATATATATCTTTCCCAACTCGATAACTCATTAACCGCGGTGTTAGCCGTGGGAAAAATGAAATTTTTAATAGAATTTTTTAATTGCTCTATCTCAATAATAAGCGTCTGTTTGACCCACTGAATAGGTTAATAACTTCGTACAAACTCAGGGCTTCTAGATTTCCACAACCAACAGTGAGAGCGCCTAAATTTGAAGGTCGACCCAAAAGCCTCTACTCTCACGTTCTTCCTGAACGCACTGTAGTTGACAAGTTGCACGCATACACATGTGCGTTACTGCGAAGCTACAGTCTCCATCATAGACTACCACAGCACGAAAGTAACCCTTTTTTACAATATTAACAGCGCGTAAAGAATATGGTAATTAACGCTACGTTGGTAGGTTCCCTGGGCAAGATGGTATACGTGGGACCACACCGTCGAGCAGGTCCTGGTCGGCTCACTATGTGGACTCTTCCTTGGTTGTTTAGCGTTCGCCTTTCGTATTGAATATCTTCCCAATATGGAGTTTGTATGGATGCCAACGACAGTTGTTACCACCGCTACTCCTATTATTACAGTATAATCAACAACTTTCCATACCGTAACTTGTTGGGTTCTCAGAAAGTATCAACTCCCTATGACCAACTCAAACGCTTTTGTGATAATAAAAGATAACATTTATCATGACGAAGTGTCGATCGGTAACACCAGCGCTTCCACAGAGACACAACTATATCCTTTCTCGTGTTATATGCTGTAATCAGGCTAATGGCTTAAGGGCACAATTTGTGCCGCACAAATAACTTCAAGAGTGCAAGGATAACCATTCTCAGTTACACTAGATATATGAGCAGCAATGCTAAGATCACAATGGTGCACACAGAGGGATTCAGCTACAGAGACATAATGCTCGACTACTGCCTGATTACAGCATATAACACCCGCCAAAAAAGTTTGAGCCGGGAAAACAATTATGCCCGTCTACTATGCAGGTTACACGCTGTGTTGGAATAGGCGTTCGCTTTCCTCAATTGAGTTTGGTAGTTTACATACGAAATCGAGAAGTATTCAGAAACCAACGGAAAATTCCTAAAATTTTCATATCACCAACACGTAGTTGAATGTCCACATTTTCCCATGTGAAAGGTCCCCCGCATGAGGGGTATCAATCACACAGTTTGTAAATCATACGTGTGGATTCAAACTCCACCGCCAAGTCGGCGGCGCCGACAACACGGCTTAGTTATATTAGCCCATTGGCTCACAAGAGATCATTTAGTCTATTGAATTGGCTCGTATATCCACATCATTTTGTATCCTACATAAAGATATCTTTCATGCCCCAATGGTCTTTCACAAATAAGGGTTCATTATGAACTAGCCAACACAACGTCACCATCTGTCCAGACACACAGAGACAGCTAACGACTAGCACTCGCTAGGCTTTGCTGGTTGGATCTCCACCAACCTCAAACAAGGTCCCGAGGCATACAGAGGATACAAATTCATCGCCGGTAGATCGACACGCACCTCCTGACCGAACGATCTGAAAATAAATCTACTCTGACAGAGAAATTCTTGGGAGCTCATGCGATTACTACATGAGGGAAAGTTATGAATAAAACATACGAAAAACTTGTATGCAAATTCAAATTATTATCAAATCAAATACAAATATTATCAAATAAATCAAATTATCAAATACATAAATCAATGAATATAACATAATGAAATAAAATCAAATATAAAATCTCTTCAAATTATCAAGATCGCTTGAAAACTACTTCGCATTATGAATATCCAACATTGTAGAAAGTATATGGTCACTGACATCAATTCTTACTTCGAATACAAAAATCAGATTTATTCAACATAATCGTTGAGAGAAAAAAAACCAAACTCATGTACGGACAAAAAACTCAAAAGCAAAATATCACGAAAATGGACGGTAGATGAAACGCTCTAATTGCAGATAATTAGCTGTAGAGTAGCTAGCCGCATGAAAGAATCATAAGGCATTCCATTGGCAGTTCGCAATGAATTGAACATTTAATATTCTCCTATACCCACCGACCA